TTTTACTTTTATTTCTTATACAAACTTCTATTTTAATTTTTATAATGGAAATATTAAGTTATTTTTTTTACCGATATGAATTCATGAATCTTTATTTTATTTCATTTATTTTCATCTTATCCTTTTTTATACTTTTTATTTTTAAGATTTTATTTATTCATGAGAGATAGAGAGGGGCAGAGACACAGGCAGAGGGAAAAATATTAAGTTTTGGGCAAAGGCAGTAGTTAAATGTTTTGGGGATGCACAATGGATTTGACTTTCCTAGGATGCATATATATCTTTGTATTTTCTTAATAAGAATAAATATTCTGAGGCACAAGGAAATTGGCTACATTGGCTGATATATATAAGTATATATACATATACATAGAAGTTTGGTTTTAAAGATTTTATTTATTTATTCATCTATTTATTAAGAGTGAGAGTGGCAGGGGAGGGGCAGTAAAGAGGGAGAGAGAGGATGTCAAGCAGATCTCATGCTCAGCACAGAGCTGGATACAAGGCTCGGATACAGGACTCTGGAATTACGATCTGAGCCAAAATCAAGGGTTACATGCTTAACCAACTTAACCAACCAGGAGCACCTAACTTTGATTTTCCCAAAATATATTAAAGTAAAATAGAGGTCACATAATTGCACAAAATTAAAGGTGTGGAAATGATCTCAGTCTAATTTTGATATAGCATTCCCAGTATATATATATATATATATAATGTCATTTGTTTTAATGAAAAAACTTGTTGGTACTTGGGAGCATATTTTCAATATTCACATATATAATAACTCAGTTTGTAGACGCTTCTTAAAAGGATAATGCTAAAGAATACTGTTAGGAGCATGACAGCATCATGGAAATTTCCATCTTGTCAGAAAAACACACTCTGATAACTCTTTATGTACATTTACTGTGGAAGCTGATATGGACAACAGAGGAATATCAGTCTGTGCTGGTGGAACCCTTGGTGGGGACTTGGGGTCCTCCCACTGACCCTGGGAATCGGACGCTCCCCGTTATTGGCATTCGTACCTGTGCTGCTGTGTCGGTGGGCAGTTCAGTGCCCTCGACCTCCAGGCCCGCCCCGCAGCACAGGCTCCGCCACAGGGCAGAAGACTTGGGCTCGGCTGCCCTTGACAGTGAGCACAGCTCCCACCGTCTCAGCAGAGGCCGCTGGAGACAGATTGCAGGAGGAAGGGGCTTCCCGGGGTTGTGGCCGCAGCACGGTGGTCGGCGGGGGGTGTGGGGCCGTGTGGAGGAGTCCTGCCCCAGCCCCGCGGCCAGCACGGCCAGTGCTGGGGGCACTTGCACACGCGGTCCAGGTGGGCACCACAGTCTCCAGCACCCTCTCGGCAGGGCGCCTGCATCCCAAGGACCCCTCTCCTGCACAGTCCCAACTCCCCCAGCAGGCCCTGCTAGTGGCCTGGGGGTCCCACGAGCCCATGTCTCCCTGCAGGCCCCACGTGCCCACCTCCACCCTGAGCCCCGTCTCTCTGCACATTCAGGCCAGGGGGTGCTGACTGTCTCCTCTCCCTGCACTCTGTGTGCGGGGTTGTTCCCTGGGGCCCAGCTTCAGGCTAGAAAAATCAGGGAACACCTCTGCCATCCAGTGGGTGGGACTAGCCTTGTTGCCTGAGGTCTGACCACAGTGTCAGGGAGAAGGCTTCTTCCCACCATCATCCTTCCTTGTTGTCCTCCCTCAGCCCTGGGGCCCACGTGGGGTTCCAGAGAGTCACTCATGCACCAGAACTCAGGTTCCCTTGTACTAACTTCCCCTGGTAACCCACTGTGTGTTTCTAAGTCCAGAGTGGACCCTACATGATGCACCTTTGCCGTCTTCCGTCGTCAGCCAACCAATCATCCCCTTCACTGCACCCGGTGAGCCTCCTGGCCTCTGCCCTGGCAGCGTGGTGGGAGGCATACAGAGGGCGCTCAATACAGAGCCACGTGCTGGGGGGGCCTTCAGGGTGTGTCTGCTTCTGTTGAGAGGCCGTGAGTGGGTGGTGGGCTGCTGGGGTGTATTCCACACCGGGGGTGATCCTAGAGCCCCTTGACTTTCTGGAGACTTTCTTTTTCACCATTTTTTTTAACTTTTTTTTTCTTTCCCTTCAGATTGTGTGTGTGTGTGTGTGTGTGTGTGTGTGTGTGTGTGTGTGTGTGTGTTAAATCCCCTTGCCTCAGAGAGCAGAGCACCCTCTAAGGGATTCCCACTGCCGCTCTCCATCTACCCGATGAGGCTCCCCCAACATGCCTTGGTAAGCCGAGTGGCTCCGGAGCCTCAGAGTCTCACACGAAAGAAGGAAGAGGTGTCTGGGGTGTTTCTTCTCCTCTTTGTAAGTTTCTGCTTTTAAACCACATCTCTCCTGTCTCTCACACCCCAACCCGGGTAACAACAGCCTTAACGTCTGTTTTTATGTTTTTGTAGATTCAACATAAAAGTGATACCTCGCAACGCTTGTGTTTCTCTGTCTGATTTATGTCAACATAATGTGCTTAAGGTCCATCTTTATTGCAAATGGCAGCTGTCCTTCCTCGTGGCTAAATTATATATCGTACATATGTGTGTGTGTATATGTACACACACAGGACATCCTCCTCATCCCTCCGCCCATGACGGGCACATAGTTATATCTATTATCTTAGCTACGAAGTAAATGCTAGAATAAGCATGGGAAGGCCGCTCCCTCTTCAAGATCGTGTTTTCATTCCCTTTGGGCATAACCCGAGAAGAGGGATTGCGGGAACACATGGTAGATCGATTTTGTTTTTTGTGAAATCTTCATTTTTTTTTTTTTAGTGGATGCCCCCATTTACATTACCTCCCACTGTGTACTGAGGTTCTCCTTTCTCCACTAGCTTCCCAACGCGTCTTAACCCTTGTCTTGTTGATGAGATCCTAACAAGTGTGAGGTGATGTCTCACTGTCTTTTCTTTTTTAATTTTTATAAATTTATTTTTTATTGGTGTTCAATTTGCCAACATATAGAATAACACCCAATGCTCATCCCGTCAAGTGCCCACCTCAGTGCCCGTCACCCGGCCACCCCCACCCCCCACCCTCCTCCCCTTCCACCACCCCTAGTTCGTTTCCCAGAGTTAGGAGGCTCTCGTGTTCTGTCTCCCTTTCTGATATTTCCCACTCATTTTTTTCTCCTTTCTCCTTTATTCCTTTTCACTATTTTTTATATTCCCCAAGTGAGTGAGACCATATAATGTTTGTCCTTCTCCGACTGACTTACTTCACTCAACATCGTACCCTCCAGTTCCAATCACGTCGAAGTAAATGGTGGGTATTTGTCGTTTCCGATGGCTGAGGAATATCCCACTGTGTACATAGACCACAGCTTCTTTATCCCTTGACTCGTATTTCCCTGATGATTTGTAAGCCCTGGAGACCTAATGCATGATATAGTGATAGACACAGAATAGAAAATATTTTCTTACAATCACCAGGCTGTTAGGAGAGTAGAACTTAATTATTCCAACTCCCAAACAGAAATGATCACTAGGAACATGACAGACATGGTAAGTAATGCTCCAATGGCAAACATACAATATATGAACATATATTAACACGTAGCGCCCCTTAAATTTACACAGTGTTAAATATCACGTATATTTGAAAGAAAAGAGGAAATCGATGTTCAGTGCTGCTTCATAGGACAGAGACTCTCCCACTGAGTTGTCACAGAAAGGTATCCCGTGTATGAACAAGAACGACCTTTGAAGTATTAGAGTCATTTAATTGCCAAGGGACATTTAAAATGTGGTGATTTCGCATGGTTTCGGCGTTTTCCAAGACTTGTTCGGTACCTTTCGTTGGAGACCTAGATGGGTCCCACACTTGGTTGTGATGTAAATGTGGAGTTGTTGCTCCGTTGTTGCATTTATCTAGCTGGGATTTGCCTTAGTTAAGGGATTGTAGTTTGATGTGTCCTGGTGCAGGGTTGGGCCCTATTCAACACCTGCAGAGAGACCTGAAGGAATAAGGGACTTGCTCCTACTCCTTCCTTTCCTTGGAACACAGGTTCCCAAGATGTAACAGGATTGAGTCCTCAGCATCTTCAGGGCTTTGTTCCAGAATCGCTTTTACTGTAATGCCCTTTTGGCTGACTTCTCTAAGATTAGAACCTCATTTTCTGTCTCCACGATACTCTCCTTCCGTCTCTCCTGTATTATTACTTACTAGGCCTCACCACTTTACAAACTACACACCGTTTTCCTTCCCCCTTCTACTCTCCTTCCTGCCACCCCTTTCATCCTTGTTGCTTAGGTTTTAAGAGATGAAGCTCTACAATTGCATGTATCACACGGAATTTTTATGTGCTCTGTTCATCACTGGGTTTTTTTTTATGTGTAGAGTAGTCAATAAATATTTGTTGCATGAGTGCATGGGTTCAATGGCTGCATTAATAACACGTTTTCATTTCATATTTTATTTACTTTCTCTTTACCTTTGAATTCTTCCAAAGAAGTATTAAATTCAAAGAGATCCTATTGGTGTGGGTTCGCTGTGTATGAGTGTCAGATGATAGTGTCTCCACGTACAGGAGGGAGGTCACTGCGGGAGGAAGGTACAGCCTGCCCCAGGTGGATGGTTCTGAGAGCTCGCTGCCATACCCCCGTGATTCTGTTTTAAGGAAACCCTGAGCTAAGCAAGATGTGAGCATCCAACTTCTAACGTGTACGAAAGGAGCACCGCAGGCCTGAGTAATCCCACAGGGCAGGTTATCGTGGTGCTACTCTATCCTACAAGGTTAGAGGAAGCCTGGAAGCAAAGTTTATTTTCCAGAAAATGTTTAATATAGGAAACTCTTGACTTGAAAGCAGTGTCATAATCAAGGGACTGAGATTGTGATCTTTCCAAAGGGCCTCTGGCTGTGCTGTTGACTCTCCAGTGGTTTCTCCAAGTACCAACATTTCCCGACATCATCTAGCCCGGATTCTGATCTGGCACCTCCTGATTGGCGCCCTCTGCCTATATAAGGTCAGGATGTGCAACGCTGGGGTCAGAGTCCTACCTTCTCCTGAGCTCTGACGCTTTCCTCTCTGTGCTCCCTGCTGATCCATTCACCAGCATGAAGGTCCTGGCGTTGCTGGTCCTGGTGGCAGTCTCCACCTTCCTGGTCTCAGGCCGTAAGTAATGATGTTTACCTGAACATAAGGTCTGGAGCGAGAGGACATCATGGTACAAGGTCTCTGTGGATTGTGGTTCCGAGGGGCTTAGAATGCTTGACCCGTGTCCTCCATTTCACTATCCGTTTCCAACCCCATTCGACTGACCACTCAAAATAGAGTGGACTCTGACTTTCAGCTTTGACAATTCAGTCTGGTCTTTGCTCAGTTTTAACCTTGGAACACAACTTCAGTGTTAGTTTAACATTGTTTAGGAGGGTCATCAGAGGTTGATTTCAGGAAAGCAATAATAGACATATTATGTTTTTTTGTACCTTTTTGTGAGTTTCATATCTTTGCCTCTCTTTGTCTTCAACATATGTAGCAATGTAGCCCTGGGTTCTTCAGCTGTGAAAGACCCCAGTAAGTCCATAATGTCGCTTTTGTCTACACCCAAAACTGTTGTTCAGCTTACATCTATTTTTTTCTTTTTCTCTTTCAGAGGATACAACAAGTGCTCCATCTGATAGCTCTACTGGTAAGTCTTGCTTGCACCTTCCTGTCACGACTGTCTTCCACCCCAGCCTCGTGTCAAGGCAGTCATGGGGGACAGAGTACAGAGACTCCAAAGCAAAAGCCTGGGGGCAGCACATCCCTGTTTCTAAAGTTCATTGTGGACATAGAAAATCTCTGATTTCTCATCCATTAATAGAGGATACAAATTCTTTAGCATGGGTTTATATAAATTGTAGAATAAGTATTCATTGTCCTTCAGCAGAAATGCCAGGGAATGTGGTCTGAATTTGTGATCTGGGGAGATGCATGAAGAGTCTTTTGGTTACCAAAAATTAAAGCACCAAATATATGGCCGGTGTGAAAAGAGGGGTGAATAAGTCTCGGTTTGACAGAAGAGAATGTAGATACCGAAGGTGATGTAGAGATGTGGGCATTAGGGGCACATGGGAGTGTGGAATATGGATTGTGGAGAGTAGAGGTGAAGTAGAAGGATGGCCCTGAGCTTTGCTCTTTTTAACAGTATATATGCCTTATTCCCAGGCTTCTCTGTGTGAGGTTTATTTATTTATTTATTTATTTATTTATTTATTTATTTATTTATTTATTATTTATTTTTGCCTGAGACCAAGGTTGTGGACCAAAGCCTTAGTATTTCTTGGGCTTCTCCCACAGTGTCCTGTATGTCCAATGCCATATGTGTTGTGCTCAAGCAGACATGAGGGTGCTTTCTCCTTTTGTCCTCCACAGTTAGGGACCTATAACCTTGGTCATAAGGGCAGTGACTGCATCAGACCTCACACACTGAACCATATGTCCTACCTCCATGGGGGACAATTCAAAAAACACCCCGTCTTCTGGAGGAGGACCGACACGGCATGGCTCCAGGGTGGGCCTGGAGAGTGAGCTGTCCGCTTGTTGAGGCAGATGCACCTCACAGATGTAGGGTCTGCCTGTGGCTGCCCGTCAGGAGCTCCGGTGTAAGGCGTAGAGAGTGATAATTGTTACCAATCTTGCCACACATCCTTTGAACATGGGATGATCGATGGGGCATTTGCTCACTCGTATCATTGCCACAAGAGTATTAATGTCCCCTGTTACATCGAATGCGGTTCTCCTAGATGCATCTGTAAGAGATGGAGTCCAAGTCGAGGAACAGGCAGGACAAATATAATCCTGTTTCAGGACAGAAGCTGGAGGAAGAGATTGTGCTTCTTTCAAAGAAAGGAGGTCCTATTGCTCGAATCTGAGACACATGAACTTGTTGTTTCTTCTCTTCTCCTGTACAGGTTATTCCACTACCACACTCATGCACGCTGCGGAGGAAACTGAAGGGCTCAAGTTAGCGCATGGGAGGGCACCAGAGAGACAGCCCACTAGGGACTGTCCTGTCGGCCCTGAGCCGGGGTTCTTGCAAATAGGAGCACATGTGGGTTTGGTCTTTGGTGCTTGCCCCTGGGAGAAAGTGTCTGCTTGTCTCCTCTCTTAGGGTCACAGACCTTGTGGAGAAGCCTGGAATTCTTTCTGTCGCACCATGGGCAGGGCTAGGAAGGATGAGTCCAAAGGAGGATGGGTAGGCAGGCTAAGGGTATGACCGAGTTGTTGACATCTGCAGAGACGAATTGAGAAGGAGGACTGTGCCTCCACGCTTGCTTGGGACAAATTTGGCTGCTGGGGTAGTCAAGTGTCTCAGCTGGATCTCTTCCTCCTAATTTCAGCTGCCCCTGATGCCACCACTGCAGCTCCTGCCAGCACTGCAGCTCCTGCCACCACTGCAGCTCCTGCCTCCACTGCAGCTCCTCCTGCCTCCACGACCACTGCTGCTCAAAGCACCACTCCAGCTGGTAAGTCTAGTTCATCTATAGGCTTCTTTATGGGGCTCCTGGATTCCTGGGGTCTCTATTTTGTTAGGGTAAACTCTATTTTCAGGGCAAGAGGGAAGAGCCCTGGGAAAGCTCTGTTTTCTTCATTCTCTCACTGCTTTCAGTTTTATATATCAAGTTCACAGATATCTCAGAGGAATTGAGGCTTCCTTGAGGCAGAAGCTTTTGAGTATTATTCAGGGTAGTTCTGGGTGTGTTTCACCTTCATGACAGGACCAAGACAGTAGTCTTTCTAGTCCTGGTTCGTCTTTCCTGTCCTTCAACACTCATGTAACATGGGTCACAAAGTTTGTTGACTGTGGACATATACCAGGCAGTGGAGTATACAATTTGCATATCAATGTAATTTAAATCTCATTTACTAAGTAAACACTGTAAGGATGAAGACATTGAGAACTTACAAAGAAAGATTTCCCCCTGAACACATGGGAGAGATTGGGTTGGTATTTATACAATCAACGTCTGGAGGAACCTTTTCAAATATTGCCTTTACTCGTTCAGTGTCTGGGCCATCGCATGGCACCTGTTCAAGGATGTGTAGTTGCAGCCAGTGGAGGGAAAAAGGACTGAGTTGCTCTGTGTTATGGGGAGGGAAAACTAACGCACATTGGCCTACTCCTGTTCAATGTAAACCTCCAGCTTTCGTAGGCTCCCACCCAGGGCTGCAAATTCCATTTCTCTTTGGGCAAACATGTCATGTTCCTTTGACACCTCGGAAGTCAGTGCCATTTGATGTTTGTTAGTCTCCTCACAGAGGCCCAAGAAAGAAGCCACATTATTCATCTTTTTGTGAAACCCTCTTGACAATACATTTTATTCTCTTGCAGGCCTCTTGAACTGGTTGCGTCACGTATTGGGGTTGAAAAATTACTAAGATGGAATTAGTCCGAGGCATCTGCATTTGATCCTGCAGGGCTCGGCCACTTATGCCTTCATTTGATTTAATCCAACGATTCACCATGTGTACCAATGTCTCTTATCCCTAATCAGTTTATCTGTTTAAAATAAAAAGAACAACATTGAGCAACATCAAAATTGTATATTTTTAAGGGGCTGGTGAGTGGTTGTCCAATGATTCCATCAATCCCAGTGACAGATACTTTGAATCTTATCCTGTCCTTCCCGTGTGACTATGAGTTGGACTTTGTCATGTGTACCCAATTTTTAAATATATGACACACTTCCTGGGCCCATCACTAGAGCCTAGAGGCTTTTGTCACCTGAATGCACTAATCAATATACATTAGGCACAACGTCTATTTTGTATTTCACCAAACTCTACTATGAACTGAGCCATGATTAGTCTCTTAACCACAATGACTTAGCAGGTGAGATGCAGGAAAGCAGTCCTGCCATCTGGGAACTGGCCTGGCACAGCGGGGCTTCGGAGGTGTTAGGGCTGAGCTGGGCTGAGGGTAGGAAATGATGTTCTCACGTTGCACACATACAAAGTCACAGAAGGCCAGCAGCAGTCACGGGCACTCAGGGACTGTGATGAAGCAGGCAAAGAGCAAGTTCACTTCCCGGTGTTGTTTCTGTGCAGACAAAAGCAATGTCAGTTGCCAAGTCCACAATTCCAATAGCCTTTTCTCTTAGTTAATGAGTGATGCTGCTTCGTTCCCTGTCACAGTTTTGCCCCAGTCCAGTGTCTTCTCCTTCTAGCAAAGATTTGTTTACATCCCCAGCCACAGCACCCTCATGATCCTTGCCAGCATCCAACCCCGGGCAGAGGCCTGCTTCCCTACCACCTCTCCTAAGTCACCTAACACAAGCCCAATTCCTGTGTAAGTGTTTTCTAACACCCTTGAGCTGAGACAGCGCTCTGCAATTCGCCACGGTGCATGATCTCCCCCACTGTAGTGATGATGATCCCAAGCTCCTGAGCTACAGCTGTGCTCCTGGTTGGTTTTGGCTGGAGGGCTTCGACAACTGAACACATAATGGGATGGATATTGTACATTTGTACATATTGTACTCCACGAAGGATGGGGTGTGTGGTCCTTTCCACCGTGGTCATCTGCCCAGTTTTCATGCACTTGCTAAGTGGGAATCTTTGGGCTTGTCCTGGTTCTTATCAGCAGTCCACTAAGCAGTGCACAATTCATGAAAAGCAACGTGTCCATGCTTTGGTAGGGAAATGATTGAGTTTGGAATTTGATTCCCACTCAATCTGTTTTTATTATTTAAAAATTATTTGGATCTGTCAGTGGATGAGAGGTAAAGGAGACTTGAAGATGAAATAGGTGTGTTTTGATTGATTGAGATGGATTGGGTGTGATCAAGGCTATGTAGGAAGTACAACATGCCCAGAGGGATTGGTATACCTTAAGAGACTTAGCTAACACCTTATTTTCTATAATAGTCTGAGTCACCCTTGTACACTTTGAATTTCCACAGACTAGATCTCAGTGTGCATTTACTGTATAGTCACAGGAAAATGAGTGCATGTTAACATGTTTCCACGTTTAGGTTGGCAAGATTTGTAGTTAATGACCACTAAGGGGAAATTAGTACATGTTAGCACATGTGATGATTCTTTCTACAGAGGAATAAAGACAAAAGAAGCAAAACCTTTAGTACCCATAGAACACCTGGAGGGTAGTCGAAATTGCCAGCTGTTATTCCAGGCTGAGTCCAGTCTCTGAAATTCATGAGAATTACCTCAACTGGGGTAAGAGAGGTATCGCTCAAACTTTGCAACACACTGTCATGATTTTCAGATCATGCTAAAACACAAGAAGTCCAGAGATTCTGAGGACTATTTTGGTGTTGGCAAAATCATACTCCTCCAGTAGAAATGCTGTTAGCCTCTTCTCACAGTAACCACAGAGTTATCTGAATTATATCGGATCTTTGGCTGAATCTCTTAGTAGACTTACTGAGTGTTGGTCCCGTGTTTTTCCTATGAGCTCATAGGATGTGACTATATGATAGAAGTTTCCACCATCATACATCTGCTGGAATCTGAAATCTCTGGCAGAAATCAACAGCATTTATTCAAAATGTTGTGTTGGGTGTTTGGATTTGAAAACTACTTGAGGCAGATTCTTCTCCCAGACCACTTTGAAAATAGTTGCTAGCTTCTCAGTGGTGTTTGATGAAAAAAAGCCCTTCCGCTGAAGACCATCAGGCAGTGAATGTTTGTTTTACTGTTGTGTTCTGGTGGATGCCAGAGAAACTGTCAAATAAGTGCTGGGTAAATTTATTATTAAATAAATAAATAAAATAAATAAATAAATAAATAAATAAATAAATAAATAAAAATAATCTAAAAAAAATATGTGCTGGGTAGAACAGGGATGTTGGCTTATAGAGCGGCAATGTACTTTTAGGTGCATTGTAGTCGTAGAATTCAGGGAAAGTGCCACACAACAGAGAGAAGTTGTTTTGCTACCTGTTGGGTGGCCACTCTGGAAAACGGTATGGAGTTTCCTCAAGAAGTTAAAAATAGAGCTACCCTACACCCCAGCAATTGCGCTATGAGGCATTTATCCCAATGATATTAATCTAATGAGTGAAGGGGCACATGCACCACAATGTTTATAGCAGCAGTGTCCACAACAGGCAAACTACGGAAAGAGCCCAGATGTCCATCGGCAGATGAATGGATAAAGGAGGAAGTGGTATATATGTGCAATGGAATGTTACTCAGTCATGAGAAAGTTTGAATACTTACCATTTACACCGACATGGATGGACCTGGAGAGTATCGCGCTGAGCAAAATAACTCAATCAGAGGAAGACAATTATCACATGGCTTCACTCACATGTGCAGTATGAGACAGCACAGAGGATCACAGGGAAAGGAGTGGGAAATAATCAGAGAGGGAGACAAATCACGAGAGACTCTTAAGTAGATGCAGCAAATAGGGTTGCTGGAGTCGAGGTGGGCAGGGAAATGGGGTATTTGGCTCTGTGGAAGTCAGTTTGCTAAAGGCTCTGTTAATACAACACAATGATGAAAAAGAGAAACTTGTGTTGATCCAGAGAGAAGAGTTGAAAGCTCTTCGGTTAACAGTGGACAAAGCGTCAGGCTCCTGTCTCTAGGGAAGCACTTAGATGTTAGTCTGTGGGGCTGTAGCCAAGAGTTACATGTATTGTTAGATGAATGGGCTCCAGGCAAGTAGGTAAACAGGCTACTTGTATGATGCACTCAGATAAGGAAATGTCTTTGGGACTTGAGTAGAGGGATCAAAATCGTGTGATGTGAAATAAATATAAGTTGTTGGCTAAGCCAAGGATTGAAATGCTGACATAGCTCCCTAGATATCCCTGTGTCCTGAGAGGAGACTTGCATGGGGTAGCTCAGGTCAGGCCCCGTTGGGTTAGAGAGGACACAGTCGCCCTAACGCAACAAGGAGAAACGATGTGCACAAGAAAATGCATCCAATATTAACACAAAAGATTTTACTCTGAGTGGGTGAAATTAACTGCTAGGGGCAAGTGGATCACCCTGAACCCTCCTGGAAGCCCCAAGATTCCATAACTGAGCGTTTAAGTATTGGTGTTAATTGAGTACCTGCTCTTCTCTAGCATTTGTTCATCTTGTAAAGGAGCGATGCAGGAGATGCACTGAATGTTTGGAACATCCGATTCTTCATCATTTCAGTCCACTTGAATGTATTCTCAGGTTACAAACTTACCGCTACTAGGATCTACTATTTAATGGACAGAGCCGGCAAATGAAACATCATGGTTTCGATAAGCTGCAGTTGGGAATTTTCTTGTTCCTGTTAGTGCTTCTTTGGGTTTTCTGTCTAAGAAATGTTAACATCCCCTAAGTTTAAAAGGATACACATTTCAGTCTTGAGATGATTTATAACGTTATGTTTTATGATTAGGTCTTGGATTGTTGCGTATGGTCAAAGGTAGGAATCATGGTTTATTTCTATAATCAAATAGGTAATAGTATTTTTTGCCGTATACTTTGTTGAAAGACTTTCCTTTCTTCTACTGAGTAGCCTTAGCATTTTTCTTAAAAAAATGCATTGATTGAATATGTGTGGCGTGCATTGTCAAACTCGGTTCTGTTCTGCAGACCCATTTCTTTTCTTTTCTTTTCTTTTTTTTTTTTTTAGCTCCCTGTGGGTCTCTCTCCTTTTAACCTTTATAAATGATTTCTATAAAGAGAATTTTCTGAATTTTTATTCAGAGAGTTTTCAGTGCTCTGAACAGTCTTGGGTCCTAGAGGCGATGCAAAACAAGCTTGCTTAGGTGTGTGATTTCTTTCAGAACCTGCAGTTGACCTGTTAGGAACATGACTCATTTCTCTATCTGTAGGTCACTATCTCAGTGGTTTGATTAATGTAGCTGAATCAGTTTGAAGTCAGGTGGTGTGATTCTTCCAAGTCCGGTCTTTCTCAGGATGGTTTTGGCTACCTGTCTGTTTTTACTTTGTCATACATATAAATTGTGGAATTTGTTTGCCAATTTTTACAAAAAAAAGCTTGCAAACACATGATTGGGATTGAATTGAAGGTGGAGATAAATCAAAACCTTAACCTTAGTGTTTTTAGCAAGACTTGAACATAATTTATCTGCATATATTTATGGTGACATGATTTGCATCATCAATGTCTTGTAGCTTCACTGTAGAGGGTCTGGCATAGCTTTGGATACGTTTGCCCAAAAATAGACACTGTTCCTCCACCTGCTCTAGAGAGTGTATTTTAAAATGTTCATTTTCCAGCTGAGTAGTGCTAACATGTGAAAAATGTAACTTATTTTTATATATTGACTTTCTATCTTATGACAACATTTGAAGTTATTTTTCCTAACGGATTTTCTGTGTTTGTGTGTATGTTCCTGTGTGAGTGTATATTTGCCTGACGACATCATCTGCACAGAAAGTTGGTTTCTTTCATAGTTTCTTTTTTTTTTGTAATAATCTGGGTATTTTATTCTAGGTATTTATTCTGATACTTGAAGGTATCTTTCTTTTTTTAATTTTTTACATATTTTTTAATTGGAGTTCAATTTCCCAACATATAGCATAATACCCAGTGCTTATCCCATCAGGTGACCCCCTCAGTGCC